TGCAGGCTGGGTGTGATGGCTCATGCCTGTAATCCCCGCACTTTGGAAGGCCAAGGCAGGGGGATCACTTGAGCCCAGGAGTTCAAGACTAGCCTGGGCAATGTAGTGAGACCTCATCTCTACCAAAAATTAAAAAATCAGCCAAGCATGGTGACACATGCCTATAGTCTCAGCTACTTAGGAGGCTGTGGTGGGAGGATTGCTTGAACCTGGGAGGCGGAGGTTGCAGTGAGCTAAGATTGTACCTCTGCACTCCAGCCTGGGAGACTAGTGAGAACCCGTTTCAAAAAAAAAAAAAAAAAGAAGAATGCTTTGCTTAGGCACAGACAATTCCTATGGTAGCAGTTTACCAATTAATACATGTGCCTGAGCTCTATGAAGTCCTTGCCTTGATATTTATTATTTATGGTCACCAGCTTCAGTGGAGCGCTTGGCTTCACTTTGCAGCTATTTACCTGCTCTTTGTCCATTCCAGTGCATCTATATGATAATGACGATAATGGTTATTATCATTTCCGTTTATTCAGTGCACCGTATCTGCCAGTCATTGTTTTTTTTTTTAATGCATTATCTCATTTATCCTTAGTAATTCCTGATACAGGCACTCCTCTTACTGTAGGCAAACAAGATGCAGAACGGTTGAAGGACTTCCCCTAAGGTGGTAGCACACTAGACGGGGAAAGACCAAGGCGTCTCCTGGAGTGGGATCTAACTTTGCTGTTCTAGGTCTCATCCCTGGTGATCTTGTCCCTCTGCTGCTCTTCTCTCCAAGTCCTCTGTCTTCCTCATCAGCAGTGACTTTGGTATTTCACAGAGAAGGTAGATGCTGCAAGGAGAGACTCCCTTGTTCACACCCGTCCCGTAATCCCATCCTTTCCTTAATTCTTTAAAACACTCTAGTGAGAAAACCACAGGCCTAAGGCCAAGTACATGGTCTTTGACAAGCTGCTTAACTTCACTTGGTCTCGGGTTTTTCATTTGCAAAGTGGGGACCCGAGTGCCTGCCTTCCTGAGCCAGCCTGAGTCATAGAGCACAGCGGTGCTCCTGAGCTCTGTCGTGCTGTGGTGAGAAGGGGTCTGTGTCTGTGGCCTGTCTAGAGTGTGCCGTGGGCAGTAAGCGGACATGATTATCGCCTGTGTCCTCTTTTCCTCCCTCCTTGTGAAAGGGACGGGGGCGGGGTGGGGAACAACAGTCTTTTCTCACAAAGCTCTACATTTGCTTCAAAAATGTTGATTTGCACTTATTTGCCTAAGTATCTGTCATACAGATAAATTACAGACTCCTGAGGGACAGACAGGTCCTGGCGTTTTGCTTGGTAATTACCTAGTAATTGCCGAAAAAGTATTGTTAAGTTATAAAATGTACTGATTCTCTAGTCCTGCCTACAGACTTTCTTGAAATTTGATAAGGGTTTATTTTCTTGGAAAATGGAAGTCTCCTGGAGGATACTAACTTAATTTCCCTTTTATCCACAGGCCCTTACGAGGAGCAGTTGCTGGTGATTTTCAAATAAGTGGAATATAGCTTCTGTTTTGTTCTGGCCTCTTTTGCTCACTGCCCCTTAATTTCTGTCAGAAGATTGGACTCATTGGACTGTCATGAAATGCCCCAAGTAAAATGAAAGCCAGCCACTTTGACTTTTGCCTAATAAATCTTTATTTTGTTTTCATCTTCTCTTCAGAAAAGAAAGATGTGACCCAAAGCCTAGAGAACTATACGTCCAAGTGTCCTGGGACCATGGAACCCATCGCCCTCCCTGGCGGCCTCACCCTGCCGCCGGTACCCTTCACCAAGCTTCCCATCGTCAGGTGAGATGGGCCCTGTGGAGCGGGAAAGGCAGCTGCCCTCCGGGACACCGTCCTCTAGTCTGATTGTGAATAGAGGTCTTTAGAAGAGCTCCCATTTTTGGTTGGCTATGTATCAGGTTCATTATCTCATTAAACTGGAAAGCGGCCCTATGACATGGAAGTAAGTATTTTAGAGATGAGAGAGTCGGGGCCAGCGACATTCCGTAACTGCTGCAGTTCCATGCCCATTGAATGGCAGAGTCCCGTCTGCACCCAGCCTTGCTTGGTTCCAAAGCCTGCCTTGCGACCACTACACCGCAGTGGAAACCGGCATGACCACATCATCTTCTCCTTGGAAGCTTTCAGTCGTTTCCTTTGCCGCAGGCCATGCACCCCAGCCACACGGGAACAGGGCAGCTCCTCGCCCACACGAGCGCTCGCCAGCTCCCATCTTTGCTCTGCACGGCCTCTGCCTGGCAGGCTGTCTCCTCTCCCGTCTTCATTCTGTCTGTGCTCCCTCGTTCCTCCACACTCATCCTCAGCCCCATTTCCAGGACACCTTTTCTGAGAGGCGAGCTCCCTGACTTTCCAGGGCTCCCATTGCTCACCACTCTCCCAGGATTTGCTGCCATGTGCCGTCCTTTCTGTGTAACTGTCACTCCTAAGAGTGTGCGATTTGAGAGCGGAGACCCTATGGCACGTGCGAAGTGGGTCCTTGCAGAGAGGTTTTGTTTTTTTCTTAACCGCTCCAGGCTTAGGACCTGCGAAAGCTTTATCAACTAGTCTTGTGAGGTGATTTCTGAATTTCTGAAAGATTTGTTTGAAGACTGGAAAGAAACAGTTGAATTTGACATTTTGCTGTTGGTTGGAAGTGCTGTAGCCTTAGGATTCGGTGTGATGAAGATGCTAAGTATCTTTAAAACGCTCTTGGCTTGGCTGTTGTTCCCCAGCTTCACTTGGTCTTGCCGTGCCCTGGGCTTTGACTCACAGGCCTGCTGCATTCCATGAACGAGTCACTTAACCTCCTGGGTATCAGTTTGCTTATCTCCCCACTATGCTCCCACAATTAAGAATGAAAACCCATAGCATTAAGCTATTATGAGAATTCAATGAAGTAACATGTAAAAGCATGTGTATGGTGCTTAACAAATGTTAGTTTTCTTTCTCCCTGCATTTCTT